CACACGTACAAGGTTCTTTGAGAATCGGCTTCGGAGCCGAGCAAATTGCTCGTAACTGGGGCGCTATCGGCCAACTGCAATTATGCAAAATTAAAATACTAAACCTAAAACAAAAGGAAACAACTTTCGTAGTTAATATAAATCGGAAACGCAGAAAGAGGAAACGCCATACTTACATTCATCTCGAAAATGTATGCTGCGATTGTGGCTGAAAAGGGATTTGAGAAAAAATTTCTTCGATATTGTGTGGGAGGTACTTGGCTCCAGTTATGGCCTCTGTTTGCCCTTTTGACAAGAAATCATTGGGCTATGGGTGTACTTGAGGTTTTAGAAATCTTGTTATAGGGAAAAAAAAATAATAAAGGCAAAAGTACAATTTTGGTCATGCAGCTTTGAGCTCGTGGCAACTTTAGTCCTCCGATCTGGCCTTTGTGCAATTTAGTACTGTAATTTACAAAGTCAACGCAATTTCGGTCCTTCCTGCACCCAAAAAGTCAAAATTGTCGCCTGAATGCTCACGTGTTCGGCACGTGACGAATTTCTGTCTGTTTTTTACTGATTTGGCTTCCCACTTTGTGGACGTGGCAAATTTATGTTTTAAAACATGGCAATTAAAAAAAAAATTCACATGTGCATATAACGAAAAAATAAAATAATAAAAAAAATCGGGCTTTGCCTCTTTAAAGATCGACAAATCGATTTCAACCCCAAATCGACCTCACAGAACCCTAGCTTCTGAAACCAAGAACCCTAATCCCCAATTTCCCCAAATCGACCTCACAAAAATGTCGAAAAAATCATATGTCTCCATTCATAGGTTCTACTATTGCGGTCAGGGAGCGGTTATTCAAACCTCTTGGACGACTGAAAATCCTGGACGTCGATTTCGTTCGTGCATTGGGTATGAGGTAAGTGATGGTTCCTCTTGCTGTTTGTTAAACAAAATAATAATAACAAAAACATGTCACTCATTTGCTTATTGTAGAGAGAACGGTGTGAGTTCTTCTCTTGGGTTGATCCACCTATTTGTAAAAGGTCGAAAGCAATTCTTCCTTGATTGTTACGAAAATCAAATGTTTTGCGTGCTGAGAATGAAGGATTGTGAGAGGAAAACATGAGATTGGTTGAATTGAAGAAGAAATTGGAGTTGGAGAACTCGGTTTTGCAAATGAAGATGCAGTCCAATAAAAAGACCAAAAATTGGTTGGTTGTGGGGGTTGTGACTTTGTTCTTCTACTTGTTCTCAAAGAACAAATGCTAGTTCAGCAATTTGTGGGGGTTGTGACTCTGTACTTTTAGCAGCTTAAGTTTTTTTTAGCAGTTTGTTGTAGTAGATTTGTTAGGTTTGATGAACCATGAACTTTGTTGTAGTTGTTATCTATTGTAATGGATTGTCTTGTGTGTGATTCAAAGTTCAAAGTGGTTATTGCTCTCTTAAAACTTCAAAGTGTTTATGCCATGTTTATGAAATTCAATGTTCCTGAAATGGTTTGCATTGGCTTGTGAAATGTGCATTACTGATAATGCAGCTCATAAACCACAAACATGGTAAATCATATTAAATGAAGACAATAAACTTGTTATACATAGGTCAACAATTCTACATATAAATAAACCATCACAATAAAGGTAACTCAGACAAACCACTTAAACCATCAACAAAAACTGCTAAAAAAAATTTCTTTGCACATAAACCTGGTAGCAAAAGCACATCCATTACAGAATGTGACATTCCATTACACCCATTTCAGTCAAAACCACCCATCACTTGTTTGGCAATGTCATAATCAAAAAAGCACCAAGATACATCACCTTTACATAGCATGTTTACCATCCATAACCAACTGGTGATTTACAAAAGTAATAAAACAAAACAACTTAGTTCAGATTTTCAAAAATAGTGCCCAAAAATTCCCACACAAACAGTATACACAAAGCACAATTAGTTTTCTGGTCTTGATGCCATTGACCCCTGGAGCTGCTGGTAAGGAGTAGGTCCTGTCTGATTGGCAACTCTAGGGATTTGGTACTCCTCACAGAATAGACAAAAAGACTCCAGATGAACTTCATCTTCTTCATGCCTTGTCACTGGTGGCAAAAGTGTTGGATTCTGAAATGAATAAAGTAAAAAAATATGGTTAGCAAGAATTGGTTTCAACAGAGAAATTGATAGCAACAATAAATGAAATCAACACTTACATTTGATGATTGTCCTACATTTGATGATCCATATTTGTCCAGCCTCTCCCTTTTAGCAGCTGCAACTCTTTTCATTGCAACCTACATTAAAAAAATGGATCAATTACAATGACATAAAGTCAACTCACATAATCTTATAACAACAATAACTTAACCTATAAATTTTAATACAAAAATTATAACTTACAATTGTATCATAAGCCCTTTTCAATGGATTGTTGTCCACTTCTTGAGTTAATTGGCTTTGAGGATTCATTTCTTGCTCCCTTCTTTTCTGACAAGTTCTTGCATTGTGCCCAGCCAAGCCACATTGTTTGCATCTCACAGTTGGTTGTTGACTTTTCAATTTCATTGGCTTCTTCTCTCTCCTCTTTTTTCCCTTCTTTTGAGTCTCTTCTGGATCCCTTCTTCTTGCCCTTGAAGGCCTGCCAGCACCCCTCGCAAAGTTGGGAGGTAAAGGGGGAACAAAAAGGGTCTGCCTCTATAGTGATGGACCATTTGTTCCTAATATTGACCCTTTATACACATTCCTATAACAATATTGGGAATAACAGCCATCAACAAAATCAACAAGCACTAACTTCTGAGCAAGTATGGCATTACAAACATGCTTACAAGGGATGCCCCCTAAATCCCATACCCTACAGCTGCAAAGTCATTTCTCCAAATCAACAGTGAACTGTGATCCATCTTAACACTTAATTTGGTAGTGCCTATCATCACATTTAATGGGCATGCAGTCAGACACATGTGACAAGTGTTTCTGAAGGATCAAGATTATACTAGGGCAAATCTTGTTCTTCCATTTCAACTCTACCTTATCTCTTTTTTTTTCTGCATCTTAATGCATATGTATTCTCTAATCCACTCAAGCATAGTGATAATGGGATTTTCTCTAGGTTTAAGAATGTTGCAGTTAAAAGTTTCACACACATTATCGAGCAACATGTCACACTTTGGTAATTCAGGAA